TCTTCCCCGTCAGGGACGTCTGCATTACTATTAAATTGGCACGCCAATACACTGAGCCGGGCTGGAAAAGTGGTAGTCGTTCAGCACGTGTCCAGTGATTCATCTGTTTGCCTGCGAGGGTTCCTCACCGACCGACCAAAAGCGACCGGCGGTGGTATCCACTTCTTGACCGAGGTTTCGAATTATTGGAGAGAGGGAACGCCAAATCTCCAGGGGCGTCAATGATCGGTGCGTTGGAGTCATCCCCAAGATCCTCTGCGCTGGGGTGCATGGCGTGAAGCCCATGTGACGAGCGGCATGGCTACTGCAACGGCCTCAATTGGGGTTCTAACGAGTGTTGGAGATGCAGTTGGAATGGTCGTCTCATTGAGGCAAACTGGGGCATATCCTGTCGAGCGCCGAGCATGTATCAGTACATGATGCACCTCCACGCTGCAAGTTGCATCATAAGCGGTATTGGTGATGTTGGATTGGCCACTTCATTCAGAAGGCAATGCGTGCTTGCTTGTCTCCAGAATATCTGGTGTAACTTTCTGTCATTACATTGTGCACCCGCATTCACGCACACAGGTGCATAGAACGGTCCCAGAAGTCTGGGACATCCCGCGTTATGGCGCATCAGCTCGATTATGATTCGATGCTTTTTATGATAACACGTCGTGGAACATGACAAAAACCTGCCCACGTGCATACATGTTTGTCAGGTTTGCATAGTCTGCACCTGCCAACGCGGTCGCACCAAACACCTCTGCAGAACGGCTCTTCACGCCCACGTTGTCTGGAACCGAACGGCAACGGCTGAAATTGACCATCGAGGGAACTCGAGTAGCAGCCAGCCTTGGCGGCAGCACCTTCTCAACGAGGAGACATCTCCGCAAGGCTCCGGGTGGAGGGGAGGAAAGAGGAACTTGGCTGGGCAGTTTCGTGGTCAGAAAAGCCAATCTGGCGATCTGAAGGTTCGGCCCTCGTGTCCGCCTCGGATGGGCCCCATCATCAAAAACCATGTTCCGTTATCAAAGTCGTTGGTGCTGACCAGGCGAACTTCACCGAAAGGGTCCAACAAGCGAATGACAATCCTTCAAATATCCACCTCATCACATTGAATCCTTGGGAATCGTCCACTCTTGATCCGACTCTGTGTGATATGTCAAGGGGTTAAGACGAGCAATCTAGGTGATATCGTGGTTGACCTATCGAGATGTGCCATTTTCCGGGCCTCTGGGTTCATGCTACACGGAATGAGAAGGCGACACGAACCGGTTCATTGGCATTTCTCCAGCGGGCTTTTTTCGTTGCAGGAGGCTGATTCAGGACTTGGAACTGGGTTCGCAATAGGTCTTGTCCAGCATGTTCTACGACATATCTTGGATACCAGGTTATGATCAACATTGCGTAACGGGGTGTCGTGGCTTGAATGCCAGCAGAACAACAGCCTGATGACGGACGAACAGACAAGAAAAGATATCAACTCAGGCTATCTGTATCGATCGTGGTCATATCTCGAGAAGGCTAACCACAAATATCCTCCGAGCCTCGTGCATATCTGCCCAATACTCCAAACAGCCAATAGCCCTTCCCCAGGCTGTTGGAACCTTTCTAGACTGACGCCGAGATCCCGAACGGATGCGCATCCCTCCACATCGGTAGGAAACACCACCGGGCTGGTTATTCCCGAGACAGCCATAGAATCTCTTAGCCTTGGCTTTCATATCCAGTTCGCTCAAGATGTCACCAGTCAGTTGTCAAGTTACCTCACCGTCATTCAACGATGCCCGATGTCTGGTAGCGAGGCTGGTAAACAAGGAGTTGAAACCAAGAACTACTGCCATTGAAGACGGACTACTCCGTACCAAACATAATAGCAAACAAGCCGTCATGGCGATGTCACCGCCCAGAGCTGCTGAATCCCTCAGATATCAGCGACCACCATGTTCCTCTAACTTGCGCCCCCACCAGCTGGGGTGCATAGCACGATTAGCAAACACGCAACCACCTCCAAAAGAAAAGAGAAAAGATCCATACACCAAGGCAGCTCAACGGCGCAGCACCGTACAAGCCCCTCCGCCATCATCTCACGACCTGTCGTTGGTGACGGCCAAGACCTTTCAAAAGTGGCACCGCGACGAATCAGCTCGGCGCAGTGAGTGCCGGGTGTGACGATAGACATCACCCGCTACGCGCGAGAACCGGTCGAGGTATCTTCTACAGTGGGAGTTCCTGACCCAACACGCCGGGTCGAGGGAATGCGTGCCTCGTATTTGGGAGACGTTTTCTGTGTAACGGTTGGCCCTGCTGATGAGGTGGGCGAGCGGGCGTAATGGCAAACGTCGTGGTTGGCACTGGCCAGCGTGTAAAACTGCGTCTTGTCTCGTTGTTGAAAGGCTGCTGGCATGCGGGCGTTGCTACATAGCTGGGGTGAAGAGTTTGGGATGAGTTGTCTGTGCCGCGGCCCGCCGAAAGAGTTGCCTCTCTGGGCACCGGCTGTCTGGTGACGTTGACGATACACTTTAGCCACGAATAGTCATAGACGACGTGTGCGATGGTCGAAGGAAGCAGGCATACTCAATGCCAGCTGAGTTGGAGCAAGGCTAGACTAATGAAAGGATCTCACTTTATAGGTACATTGATGCATTGGTGTCTGTCTTCTTTCATGATTACTGGTCTTGTCGATATGCCTCAATTGAATCGATGCATTTGAATGGCCTCAGCTCATAGGTCAAGAATTTGCGAGTACCTTAGTGTTAGGGGTCCATCCTGAGTTTGTGGTGATAACTCACACTATGACTGAGGTTTCCTACGAGAGAAGCTCGTAGACATGAACAAGACTTACGAAGGGACTAGAACAATAGCACCGAATATGAGGGAAACCTACGAATGACTGTTTCAGAGTGGATTCTCATAAATATTCTTTGAGTTAAGCACTTCAATTCCACGGATGTCTAGTCATCTATAAAAAACTGGAATCGTGTCACTAAAGAGGCTAAGCAATACTCTCGAACCCAGAGTCTTTTGCGAGATCCAAATGTTGCTAATATCCCCAACTTTCAAATGATCTTATCCTTCAACGCCGTCAGCGCCTGCTCGAAGTTGATCAGCTTGCCCTGAACACCAAGCTCCTCCAGTGAAATGATTCTCCCAGAGGCGAGCGAACTCCAATCAGGGAACTCCTCGCTGAACCTCAACTGAGCCGCTAGCTCCGCACCAAAGTCCCCCCAGATTTTGGCCATGCCGCTGTCGGATATCTCAAAGTACACTGCAGGCTTGCCGGTGACCTTCTCGAATACGTCTACCAACTGGGTCATGGGCTTGTAATCCGTGACACAGATTGCGACCTTCCCGTAGGCTTTGGCACCAGAGTTCAGGATGCCGCGAACGACAATGCCGGAGTTGGTCTGGGCGTCGCCGGAGATGGGGAGTATGCCGGAAGGTGACGACGGAACGATGAATGCATAACCTGCGGACATTGGCTTTGATGACATTCTGGTCAGTTATGTCTTGTGTGTAGACGAATCATAGTCATCTCTTGACGTACAATTGGAGTGAATCTCATCGTTGGTAAGATAGCCAGGTTCGAGGTGTACCAACCCAGCCAGAACTCTGTTGTCTTCGACCACAACTCAGGAGTGTTCTCGATCATCCAGTCTATGGCCTGTTGCTTGTAGTCAAGATGAGGGACCTTCAGCCTCCCGTTGGAGGCTTTGTCTGCGTGGGGCAAGCTACTAATGACGTAGTGGTTGAGAGTGGTCGACTGTGAAGCAGCCCTGGCGAGGTTCTTAAGCTGCTCGAGCTCCTCCAGGCCTGCTCCATCACGGCCTAAGGTTGGAACGGACTCCCAATAAGTCGTCACAACGAAAGCTGCTCCTGCTCCCTCGAAGGCCTTGACCAGGCTAGACTCATCGTTGACATCGGCGGTTACGACCTCGACCCCCTGAAAGACATGATGAGATAGAAATTCATCCTGAAATACGTTTATGCGTACCTTCTCTGCCAGGCTTTTGGCTTTTGCACTATTCGCCTTCCTTGTTATTCCTCGGACCTTCCACTTTGGGTCTTGAAGGAGCTGGTTGACGACCGAGCCTCCTTGAGCGCCGGTCGCCCCGATAACCGCAACGATTGACATGTTGATGCAGATGCAAAAGGTTCAGTTGAAGAAGACATATAAGTATGCTGTGCAAAGAAGAATATCACAAAACCAAGGTCTAAGCCATCGTCTTAAATATTTCATACCACGAACCAATCCAGAATACGGCAGGCTAAGAATTCCCGAGTCTGATCGAGGAGCGCGCGGTAGTCATGCCATGGCAATTACTTCCAGCAGAGCCATTCGGACCGTTCCTACCTACACAGGTTCTGAAAAGTGACGAGGGATGGTAGCACGGCAGGAATTGCTGGCCACTGAGTGATCTGCCGTGGCCACGAGCGGGGTATGCCGCGCGGTAAATACAGTCACGTCCCCGATCCAATCCGGAATTATTACCGGCTATGGAGTCGTTGCGGTGCCGAAGTGGGGTAGGATGGCCCTCCCGCGCGGCTCAAGAACATTTGCGCCGGGCGAAGGCGGCGGGCCGAGCCGTGACCGAGCCGTCGTTCTTCTGCATACAAGTACACACACTGCTTCCGATGTTGATCGTAAATGATTGACGTCCAAACACGAATAGAAACTGTGTTCATCCCGCGCGGTTGATGACTGTGTATTTTCTGGCTTTCTGACTTGTCACACTGGGCGTAAGCCTCAGCTCAAGTGCTCAAGTGATCAATCGGATAAATGCGCCGTATGTGTGACAGAATTTCTCCGGATGTACATTGCGCGTGTCTTAGAAAAACCTCACAGCCACATTTTAAACACCTAAAATGACGGGGCCTATTGGCGAGAACAGTTGGTCGTATTACAACGTAAGCTAATCTGCAATGGCCTCAGCTGCCTCGCCAACAGCATCAGCACAATCGATTATCGGCCCAACGCATGCATGACAGGTATCGGCTCGTACAGATACAACTCTTCAAAGCTCATCTTTGACTTCAGGTGCTGGCTTGAAGGCCTTCTTCTTGGTCATGCCGGCTAAGATATCCACAATAAGATCTGCCGCAGCGACTGAGGTCGTCTCGGCAACAGTATCATAAGGTGGGCTGACTTCCACGACGTCAGCGCCAACCATGTTCAAGCCTTCGAGCCCCTTCAAGAACCTCTTCAGCTCACGGGTAGTCCAGCCTCCTGACTCTGGGGTGCCCGTTGCCGGAGCAATACTGGGATCCAGGACTGCATTCATTGAACCCAATTAGCCTCTTGCTCTGTGATTGAAAAGTAGGTGGTAGATTACCGTCAATGTCGATAGACAGATAGACAGGCGTGTCGCCAACAGCCTTCTTAACCTTCTCGATGATGCCATTCATTCCGATATCGTCGATCTCGTGAGCTTCAATGATGGTGAAGCCGACGACGTCTCTGTCGATCTCGTAATCTTTCGGTCCCTGAAATCTGTCAGTTGAATTCAGTACACATGATAGAGGCAAGACGCCTACGAAGAGCTTAGTCCTCAGGCCACCATGAACGCTAGTGCCCTTCCTCACACAACCCTCGCGACTGGCGTGCCAGAAGAAGGTACCGTGAGTGATTGCGGATTGATTAGACACGATACCGGTATATCCCTCGTAAGGGTCCCAACTAAGTTTCAATTAGTAGAGCATTTTGCTCCGCGAATTGACATTGACTTACGTATCAAGATGAGAGTCAAGGTGAATAACAGAAACTGGGCCGTACACAGTCTTCAGGCTACGAAGAATGGGCAGTACGATGGAGTGATCGCCACCGAGACTAATGATTCTTGGGTGTTCCCATTGATCTGTTGACATGTCAGCGAAAATTACACAGACTTTACTTATGCGACATCGGCTGCGTACTGTTGTCCGATGTGGGGTGGTAGAGAATCTGACGATACGCTTGCTCCATCTGCTTGAACGCATGCTGGGCGTCGAAAGGGGTGATGGGTACATCGCCACAGTCGATAATCTCCAGGCCCTCTTCGTATGGGTCGACACCCCAGACAGTGTTGTAGCTGCGACCCTTCTTTTCTCTAGATGATCCTGCGCGGATACCTCTAGGCCCGAAGCGAGCTCCGGGGCGGTATGACGTCGACGTATCGTAAGGAAAACCCAAGATCGCAACATCAAGAGGCTGGAACCGTTGATTAGATGGTGAATGGAGACTGATGAGTTGGGTATGATCACCTTGTTATGAGATTCAGCCAGACATCTCTGCCATTCTAAATGGGCAAACGTAACAGGCTGTGAGAAAGGGAGGTCTTTATCCAAATCTGATCATGATCAGTCAACTTGGCTCTCATTCTGCCAAAGCGGGGTTGGGATACCTTCAATTGGGTACTGGTAGTCTGGGCCAACGTTGAGTGCGGCCGTCTGCGCAGCCCCGGCCAAGACAAGGGCTTCAGTGAATCTCATTTTCATGAAATGTTAAACTGAGATGATTAAGCTGATGTTTGTGAGAACGATGTGAACGGCAATCACCCCCGGCTGAATTTTAAATACCACCAAACTACTGCAGGCATCACACACTGAGCGCGGGGAACATCTCCGACCAACGTCCGATGTTCGAGCTTATCACATGCGGCATGCCGAAGGAAGGAGACTCCGAGACCCCACTTTCCGGCCACACGGCTTGGAGCAACCGACTCCGATATCTTGCGGGAGGACATGGCCACCATCCAAAGCTAAAATTGCGTTAGCATAGATAAGACGACTTCTTATCTCTGAAACGTCAAATACGTGATCGTGAACGACGTCGTGTAGAATCCGCTAAAGGGGTTCGTAACGACATATATAATGCGGGCGGCGTAGCGGTGGATTCTCGGAGTAACATGCATATATGTTCTGCAGGCGAACATATCCTCATACGTGTTTTTAATTCCATTCTACACTGATCGCTTTCCCCTAAAGCCCCGGTCGCCAAGATGTCGGTCGAAAGGGAGCCGAAAATTGAAAGTGACAGCGAGGCGAAACACAGCGTCGACCCGCAGGTCACTCGCCCAGAGTCGGTCGATGTCGCCGAAAATAGAGAGTTGACAACGAAGCGCGGCCTATCATCACGACATGCGCAATTCATCGCGCTCGGAGGGTCGATTGGCACCGGCCTCTTCGTCAGCTCCGGCGGCACCTTGGCCCGAGGCGGGCCGGCATTCCTGGTCGGAAGCTACGTCGTCATGTCCGCCCTGATCTACATGGTTCTTACCGCCGTCGTCGAGATCTCAACATACCTGCCTCTCCCTGGCGGCACAATGAATTACTATGGAAGTCGCTACGTCTCTCGAAGCTTGGGATTCATGATGGGGTGGTTGTACTTCTACTCATTCGCCATCTTCGTTCCCTTCGAACTTACGGCGTCCGCACTCGTTATCGAATACTGGAACCCAAACGTGAACAATACGGTCTGGATCACTATCATGCTTCTGCTGGTGGTTGGTCTGAATCTGCTACCGGTCAAGTTCTACGGCGAAACCGAGTTCTGGTTTGCCAGCTTGAAGGTCATCACAATCGTTGGACTCCTGATCCTGTCATTCATCCTGTTCTGGGGCGGTGGGCCCAGCCATGACCGACTGGGCTTCCGCTACTGGCAACACCCCGGCGCCACCAAGACTATGATTTTCGACGACGATGCGGGCAGGTTTGTGGCTGCGTTGTCCACACTTCTTAGCAGTGTCCTGCCCTTCACCTTCTCTCCGGAGATGATCGTCGTTACGGCCGGAGAAGTCCAGTCACCCCGCCGTAACCTGCCTAAGATCGCCCGCAACTTCTTTTGGCGTCTCGTTGTGTTTTATATCGGCGGTACGATTGCCATCTCGGTCATCTGCCCATCCGATGCTTCAGCTCTTACGAACGGCGGTTCGGGTGCTGCATCATCCCCTTGGGTCGTCGGTATCAAGAACGCCAGCATCAAAGGCCTGGACAGTGTTATCAACGCTGTTATCGTAACCGCGGCCTGGTCCGCAGGAAACTCATTCTTGTACCTGGCCAGCAGATCCCTATACTCGATGGCCTGCGAAGGAAGCGCCCCGGCCATCTTCAGACGGTGCACGAAGCAGGGAGTTCCGATCTACGCTGTCATTGCCAGCTCTTTGTTCTCGCTCTTGGCATACATGAACGTCAACTCGTCGGCGGCAGACGTGTTCAACTGGCTTCTGAATCTTGTTAACACGGGTGGTATCATCTCTTGGGTGTGCTGCGGGATCATTTATCTGCGATTCCGGAAGGCCTGCGAAACCCAGCAAGTGCCAAAGGAAATGCTCACCGCTCGCTCATGGCTACAGCCGGTTGGTGCATGGATCTCATTGGTCGTATTCGCTATTCTCTGCCTTCTGAACGGATTCACGGTGTTCTTCCCGTCGAGATGGTCGGTGGCAGACTTTCTTTCGGCGTACATTGGCCTTCCACTTTTCGTGGTCATCTACTTCGTGCACCGCTTTCTGTACCGCGGAGATACTTGGGCCATCAAGTCCGAAGACGTCGACCTGCAGAGTGGGTTGGCCGAGTTGGAGGCGGAGGAGGACCTCGAGGTGCCTAGCGTGAGTTCGTGGCAAAAGTTCAAAAGTTCTGCAGGACGCCTTGTGGGAAGAAAGTAATATTGCCAGTAAAAGTAGTCTCTCGCAGTCTCCTGCCGCGTCAGATAAGACGCCATGGAGAAAGATAGAACAGGCCGCCGGCAAAGGCCTGCGGCGCACTTAGATACCTGGAATATGTATGCAGTGTTTCTCGCCTTTATTTGAGCAATCAATCGAACCAATTAGTAGGACATAAATCAATTTGCCAATGTCTTCGTATTTGTTATGGAGCAAGCAAAGATACTGGTTGTGGGCTGCGGTCCGGTCGGCACCATGTGCGCTTTTGCGCTGCAGAAGTCGGGGCAGGCAACGGTCACGGCCATCCTGCGGTCGAACTTTGACTTGGTGAAAAGCCAAGGGTTCCGAATCCAAAGCGTCGACCATGGGGAGATCGACTCTTGGAGACCTCACAATAGTAAGTCATTTGTCAAACGTGAGGCTTCTAAAGCTGACACCATCGGACAGTTGAGCGTACTGTCCACGATTCTCTCCAACACGGCCCCTTTGACTATGTTGTCGTCGCCCTCAAGAACCTTCCTGACGTCTACTCGATCCCGAATATCATCGCTCCCGCAGTAACTCTGGATTGCACCTCAATTGTCTTGGTCCAGAACGGCATCGACATCGAACAACCTTTCGTTGACGCCTTTCCAAAAACCATACTGCTGTCAGGCGTCCCCATGATCGGATGTGAGCTCAACGGTCGCGAGCTTACCCGGATATCCTCCAGATCTCACCCTTTCCGTTTCAGAGCCACGGAAAGTCTCGAGACTCATGCGTCAGGTTTGCGGACATGTACAATCTTGGGGGAGCGAAGTGCAACATTCAAGAAGATATCATCTGGCATCGATGGAGAAAACTCATTTGGAATGCATCTTTCAACACAGTCTGTGCCTTGACAAACATGGACTCGGGGACCGTACAGGATGCCGGAGGCATTGAGACACTCATTCGCCCCGCCATGGATGAAGTTGTGAAAATCGCAAGAGCAGCCGGTCGTGTGCTTCCATCGGGGATCAAAGAAGAAATGGTCGCTTTTAAGCCCAAGGAAGCACACTTGAAGCCCAGCATGCAGGTGGATGCCATTAGAGGACGGCCAATGGAGATTGAGGTCATTCTTGGCAACCCCATTCGTACCGCGCGCAGATTCGAAGTCGCGACCCCAACGCTGGTGGTCCTGTACAACCTGTTGAAGGCCAAGCAGTGGCAGTTTACAGCCGGAAGATGACGATCACCGTATTGAGCTTCCTACTTCTTCATGGAAGCCCACACGAAGTATGCTGTACTCGAAGTCGCCGCAGATTTCAAGGACTGTTCTTGGGAATGAGCAAAGTTTCTTTCAGAAGAATGGAAGGCATATTTGATCATGACTGGACCTACCATTCCTTTCTACCTAACTAACTAATGCATAAACGAAGAGAGTTCGCTCTCATTCTGTTGAAGATCCCAAAGTCCCGACGATTAATCGTATGTTGCCGGCCAAACAAGATAGGAAACGGCCATACAATCTCTTTTGCAGGCCAGTCGGCTTGTAGATCAGCAAATCGAGACTTCGGAACTGTGCACTTTGAATCCACTGTACACATCTCGTGGAAACAGATACATCTGCCTCCACTCCAGTCTACCAGCAGCCCAGACGGTCGGAAAGACACTGGCGGCTGCAAACGTTGTTGAGATTCACGTTTTCTGCCCAACCAGAAACGGCATCATCAGATCCGCATTTGCCAATAGTGGCCGCAGCGGCGTCGATGAGATTGCCCTTGATGAGTTATGTTTTAATAAAGTTCCACACGAAAGAGAGCGGAGGACATGTCCGAGACTACGTACCTGTGGCATGTTGATGTTCGTGTCCCTCCAACCGATCCAGCAGATGGAGCGATCCGAGGTGAGCGAGATACCATTCACGTTGCTGGGGACGATGACGCCGCGGTTGTTGAGCAGAGTGTTGACCAATCTCTTGCACAGGTCGGTAGGGGCGCCGTCTGTGTCGGAACAAAAGACGTTGTTACTGCCACACTGGGCGTTGGCTTCAGATCCCGCCGGCGAAGCGACCGGAGGCCAAGATGCTTGGTTCTCCCAGGCGGCATCCCAGTCGAAACTGGCGGATGAGTCGGAAGTAGAGCCCCAGTACTGCAGAGTTCCAGCTTCGACCGCCCGACTGTACATAAGCACGGGTTCGGTCTCGTTGTGGGGTGCGAGGATAGCGGCGCCCTGGACGTTGACGGCAAGCCCAGCGGCCAAGGTGAGAGTCAGAGAGTTGAGCTGCATTATGGCTATCGGGGTGTCAAACCAAGCGGTATAAGATCCAAAATGCGAGTGGCAAAAACGGGTGGCTTATGATGTCGAGTGAGGCGTGCTCCTTCTCATTCTGCTTAGATCGTAGCTGGGTTGATGGAGATGCTTTATATACAACCGGGAATCAGCATTGGAAGCAGACCGACAAAGTGAATTTCATTTCCATCTCAAAGGAACATGGAAGTTTCTTTCATTCACTACCTTATCAACAACAATCTCTCGCTACAAGCAATTTACGGCGCCGTCACGCAGCAAGCAAGCTTTCGATTAGACACAAGCGACGCAGAGGCTGTAGTAACTGAAAGTATCTGAGAACGGGGCCTTATTAGATTGGCTCTTTGACCCAAATTAAGGCCTTAGCCTACGTTGAGGTAATATAATCCTTGTGTAGCGTATAGAATTTGGTCAAGCACATGACCAGAGGGCTACAAAGAGTATGAACGAATAAGCGATGGTGGCGTATTTATGTTGGTCAAGACTTTTTACGTTCGTTGTATATCGTGGTATCTGAGGTTAAAGTAGGAAGTCGCCTCCTGAAACCGCCAGCTCGTACTCATAATCAGGTTGAAATTCCAGCCACATGGCTTCGGGAGTGGTCAGTCGATACGTATACTCCTCTTCCTCATGAGGACAGATAGACTTTTGAATACCAGAAGCAGCAGCTGCTTCCGCAAGAAGCTGGATGTGGCACGAGTTCTCCATCAAAGTGTAGAGAAATGCAGCCTCATCGACAGTCTTTCCGGTTGTTAGAAGGCCATGATTCTTCAATATCGCGCACCTGTTGGGTCCCAATGCTGCCGCGATCCGTTCCCCCTCCGACACCTCAAATGCAATACCACCAAACATGTCATGGACGGCATGGTCATTGTAGAAGGTGCAAGCATCTTGGTTGAGCATCTCGAGTGGCCGTCCAAAGGATGCCCAAGCTTTCCCATCAATGCTGTGGAAATGACACGCTGCGTTGACATCGGGACGGGCGTGGTGTAAAGCCGAGCGAATGTTGAAACCGGCGTTGTTGATGCATCCCTCGTTGATTTAGTATGAGTACAGTGAATTCGGTAATGTTTCCAAACTTACATGATTGCCACCTATGATCTCTCCATTCATGTTCACCTGCACCAAGTCGCTCACCTTCATGAGACCAAAGTGGCGAGCTAGGCTTTCGCGGGTCGTTAACAAGGGTGAGCGGAACGAAGATCCGGGCGGGATAAGTGACTCACGGGTTTATCCAGAATGTGTCAGGGTCAACTGGATCGCGGACTGAAATATGGCCAGCAGTGCCCTCGAGGTAGCCCTTTCTTGCAACCACTCGGAAAGCTCCAGCCATCCGTTCTAGGACCCATTTACGTTCCTGATAAGGGTCTGTGAATTTAGGAATACCTGCTATGAGAGCGCTTCTCCCGATGGTGGCCCCTGAGCCATCAACGGTTGAAAGTCCGTCCATGTGCGTGTCCAAGACCCGGGGACGGGAAAAGTTCTGTGCGGAACCATTACTGTCACTTCTTGGTGTCCGAAGCTTCAAACCTGGCGTTGTAATGGTGTTCGATGACATGATCTGGTCTTAAAACCTTATGAAGGATGTACAATCTGAATGTGAAGCCTCTTTTTCTTTTGTGGCGGCACCTGCCCATAGGTGCCCCAGGTGGCCTATGCAGCCCAGGGCCCGCCAGGGCCTTCTTCCAGCCTCCTAGCCAGGCAGCCTACTTAGCTAGTTCTCATCACACACATCACACTCCTTACCACTCGTTACGCCTGTGCCTCCATATCTTTTGAGTTGAGATTTTCTTGCCAAAATGGGCGCTTGCTGCTTTTATGTACATCGAAGAAGGCCGTTCGCTGCCGCGTAGGAAGCGAACCTTGGCTTTTCTTCCGGCAGTATTCCTACTGCATTGATCCTCGGTTGTTTTCAGTCCCCAAGGTTGACAACAGAGGCAATACACACAGATCTTCATCAGAGTAAGAGATTCCGATTACCAGTTTTCTTTAGATGTTGCGAATGATGCTGTCAGGGGTGGCGTTGGCGCCATAGTGGGTCCTCGGAGTCTCCTGATGGTACGGGCGCTGCCTTATCACACCGATATGATAGGAGATGAAGCGACGTGATTGCTCGACACATCGACTCCGACTAGCCCCCCGGTCTTCCTCGGAGGAAAGACGATGCGAAGTTTGCAAGGAAGACCGGCATTCGAATCACGAAGGCGTACACCTTGTGTCGGAAGGGCTCCCGTACTTCGAAGCCAACCAAGGAAGAACGTTCTTACTGCTTCCCCGGAAATTCAACTCAGGGGAGTAAACCACACGAATCCGGGGTAACGCGTTGGTGGGTCTGGGGAAAACCTGGGGTGCATTGGACGAAAGGCCAGGAATCACCATCCATAGCCATTGAAGATTGCCATTGCTGAGTCCAACCCACCAATTCGTCTTTGGATTTGGTGAGAGTTGATACATGGAGTTTGGCAGTTAAGTGTGCCTCAATTGCCTCCCGAACTTGCTTGTTGTCATCGCACTGCCAGAATCCGTGTTCATCCATCCGCATCTCCGCGTTCCCGCCTACCCGCCGCTGCGGCACGGAAATATCGATCTACAGCATAATCAGTGTTTGACAATGTACCTTTGGAAATCCTATTCCGAGGAGGAAAAGATCATCCTTCGAAGAACCGTGTTGGCTTCTGGGCATCTGCTAAATGCTACAAGAAACTCGCAATAAGCTGGCGCTTCGATAATCAGACTGCTCATACAAGCGTCCTAAAGAGGAAGTTGTAGACCTAGTGATATGCAGAAGACTGCATTAGGTCAAAGGCGGCCAAGCGGAAACGCTTCCGCATGAAACAGAGTATGCCAGCCCGCTCTCCCGCAAGCCTCCCACGGTTTTGAGAGGGCTCACAATGATGTCAGCGACCATTAACTATACATTCGTTGTTCAGCTGGCAGTAGCCGCCCCGAGAAGGGTGAAGCACTTGCAGTCTTGTCGGTTTGGAAGTGCGGGGAAGAGTGTCACAGTAATGTGAAGACTCTGGGGCCTCATGAAGGAGATGATTGATTCCGGTATAAGAGATAAGCTCACGATCATGCAAATACAGGAGACTGCAATTTCGTACCCAAGGAGAGGCTTGACCAAGCCTTGGTTATCAAAACCTCGAAATCAGCACTTTGGCAAATTCTCAATCATGATCAACAGTGGATATCAAGGCCGGACGGTGCCGACGGAGTTCGGATACTCCAAGCCGGCCCCAAAAATGCCATACGTGAGATTGGGAAAGAGTGGACTGAAGGTATCTTCGCGTCTCATGAGCTGTTGCTGTGTTCTCATTGGCTGATGATGGGATCTAGGTATCGCGTCTCATTCTCGGCATGGCAACCTACGGTACCAAGAAAGATGTTGCGTGGCGCATCGAGGAGGAGGAGGCGCTGCAGCACTTAAAGGTAAACATTCCCTGTGTCCTATATCGAACTTCCTCAGAATGGATTCCATCTGACGTTTAAACAGAGAGCTTGGGAACTGGGTTTCAACACACCCGATACGTCCAATTTCTACTGTAACGGTATTAGCGAGGAGATTCTTGGGAAGTTCCTCAAAACCGTTCCACGTGAGTCAGTCGTTGTGATGACCAAGGTAGAAAGACCCTACACTTTCAATCCACTGGCACCTTTGCTGACAAAATCTCTCGTAGTCTTTCCACCCGGTTGGAGACTCCGAGAAGCAAGGCCCGGCAGGCTTGACCATGACGTCTGGGAACAACCGAAAGGTATGATCCAGATAGTTTGCTTCCCATACGGCGTAGTTCGCTTCCCATACGCCGTACTAACAGCAGATGACTTCAGCACATCTTTGATAACGTAAAGCTGGCACTAAAGAGGCTGGACACAGATTACATCGATGGCCTGCAGGTAAGCTTGCCGGGGATAAGGGGAAGCGCTCAGCCAATGAAGGCATTGCAGCTTCATCGATTTGACTATGAAACACCGGTACGTAACGCCTTTTTTCGTGGTTACGTTGTGTATTTTCCGAACTTATCGACAGTGTTACGCAGATTGAAGAGACCATGACAGCCCTGCATGATGTGGTCAAAGCAGGCTACGTACGCTACATCGGTATCAGTAGCTGTTGGGCTTGGCAGTTCCATGCAATGCAAAGTAAGTTCACGATCAGTCCTTAGACGTAGGATCCGACTCAACCAAATCATAGACTACGCTCTGAACAATAACCTCACTCCGTTTGTCAATTGCCAGAATCTCTACAATCTCCTATATCGAGAAGAAGAAAGAGAGATGATGCCATTGTTGAAATACCTTGGCGTCGGCTCGACCCCATGGAGCCCTCTCGCGAGAGGTCGTAAGTATTGCCACTATGTCAAATTGAAACGCAGTGCCGCAAGTTCATGAGCTAATCCTGAGTGAAATTTTCCAGACTTGGCGCGACCTCTGTCCCGTGCCTATGAGACGGCCCGCTCAGTAGGACTGGCGTATTCTTTGATAAGAAAACGACTTTCTGACATTCATTTCAGACTTCTGATGCCTATCATGATGAAGGCTTGCTTGGTGCAGAGTGGGAGAAAGAAGTCAATCGAAGGGTTGAGCAGCTGGCCGAGAGGCGGGGATACAACATGGCTCAGATCGGTCTTGTCATGTCGGCTTAAGATAACCTTCCCCCCCTTGAATGTTGATACTAAGACTCTTCCAAGTATGGTTTCTCCATAAGGACGCTGTCGCTGCTCCCATTGTGGGCGTCTCGAAGATTGAGCGATTTGAAGAGACTCTTGCTGCACTTGAGATCGAGCTGAGTGATGAGGAGATCAACTTTCTCGAAGAGCCTTACCAACCGTGAGTTTCCGCCTCAAATATCACGCCAGTCGGTATCTAACGTTCATACAGGAGATCGACCGCCAGTTTTGTTTGATAGTCAACAAGGAAACTGACTGAAGAGGCAACTCACCATGTAGCAAGCAGGCCTTCAATCGCGTAGACCTTGAATAAAATTATCCGTAACATATTGCATCTTATGATGACATGTTTCCGTGTTCTTTCATATCATTGTGGGTGATCTTGTGATGTGAGATTTGAGTGACATGTCTAAAAGCCAACCTTCTTAGTGATGCCATCTTTTCAGTTTACTTCAGCCTCCCAGCATGAATTACGCAGACCATTTGACCTACACGCTCAAATGAAATTTGTATGATAGTGGCATTTCATTTAGCGTCTTTTTCACTAGTACTCATGGCCATGTTGTCGATTCTCTCGATGAAAGGCGAGATGCACATTGCCATACGGCTCTGATTTCAACAAGCGTGCGACGATCACAACAATTCTTCAAGTCTACGTGTGTAGGTCACGTGGAGTAAATCTTCTATGAATTCCTATTTTGAAGGGATATCACTCCATGATAGGTGTACAACCTTCATACAAATGTCTAATACATCCATAAATCCCCTTGCACCTCAACCTGTTGACTGACACCCCCCAACAGCTAGGTTCGTGAACGCATTCAAGCCAGAGGCCCGTCAACTCTCCGAGTGTCAGTATGATTGTCGATAGGAGAAATCGTGCGGATGAATACTCACTGATGACTTTGATTGTCACTTTGCCATCGTCCCCCTTTTCATTTTGCATTGTCTTGAAGGCTTTCGCGGCATCTTTGAAAGGGAAACTGTTATAAACACATTAGCTTATGGAAGCCATCTGCGGGAACGTGGATATCTAACCGATGTGTCAGGAGGGGCTTCAAGTTGATTCGCCCTTGCCGCACAAGATCGATAGCTAGCTGGTAGTAACCAGACCCATACTTGAAATAGTCAGCGTCCGTCCACCGAGAAGAAGATTTCACTATTCACGTGCTCATCTCGCCTCAAGGCCAGATCCGATTTTCGCTACCCATCGCCGTGGAGCCGCCTTCACATTTGATGCTGAAGGTTTCCTGGGCTTGATGCGCCAGCTTGTCGCCGAGCCTCCGGTGGAAGCGAAAGCGCCTTCATTTGATCATGCGACAAAAGACCCTATTGCAGACGATATTGCCATTCCTAGTGAAGTTCGAATCGTTTTGGTGGAAGGAAATTACTGTGCGTTGAACAGAGCTCCATGGAGCGATGCTGCTGCGTTGATGACGGAGTTTTGGTATGTCGATACGCCCGCTGAGGTGTCCCACAAGCGGCTTGCTGTCAGGCACCTTCAGGCGGGCATAGTGAAGGACGAGAAGAAGAAGGCTTGGGAGCGAGCGACTGGAACCGATGAGCTCAATGCGAAGGACATTAGAGAAAATAGGCTTCCCTGCCAGGAGAATCTCATCTTGGTCTGATATTGAGAAATTGAAGTTTGTCTTTCATTCAAGGACATAATATCCCATTGATTCTGCTACGTGCTCCAGGGGGGCGAATCTACATTTCACTGGAATAATTGAAACCAACATAGCATTGCCAACATTGTCAGGCGGCTCCGTATTGCGAGATTGAGAAGGTAAAACAAGAGAAAGTAAACTTTGATCGACAGTTACTTCATGCAAGTTCTAGTCATCTTCTCTTATCTATTCCCTATTTCCCTACACCTACCATGCGCAGTGCCCGCCGTCCACCCGGAGGTCTGCTGCCGTCATGAAGCTACTCGCATCTCCTAGGAGGAACAGCACGGGGCCTCGAAACTCGTCCACGGAGCTCAGGCGGTATAGCATGTTGTCTCTGGTCCACTGGTTCTCCATGCCAGGCTTCTGCAGCGCTTCAGCAGTGGCGGGGGTTCTGATGTACCCCGGCGACAGGCTGTTAACCCTGATGAGAGGCATGCCCTTTCGCGAGCCCCTTTCGGCTGCCAGCGATCGTGCAAGTTGCAAGATTGCCGACTTGGACGAGTTGTACGCGGCCGTATCGACCCCCTTGTTTACGTTCGTGCCGCTCATGCTTGCCACCAAAACCATGCTGCCATCCACGTTGGCCTTCTTCATCTCCAGGGCCACGGCTTGTGCGGCTGCGAATGTGCCGGTAACGTTGATCTCCATTAGGCGGCGGAAGCGCTCGATAGAGAACTCGTGCGCGGGATCATTATCGGAGACGCCGGCGCAGGCTACCAGGCCTCGTATGGGGTATCTGAGTGTCGGTGCGAGCTGTTTGAACACAGCTGTGATGCTGTTCTCGTCGGTCACGTCCAGGTGATAGTACGATAATTGCAAGCCAAACTTAGTGGCGAGCTTTTCCAGTTGGTCTGGGAACGTCGGAAGTCAGCTTTGTCTTCCACTTATTGAACACGGCAAATACTCTCCCAGGAATTTGAGAACAGATTCTGGCGAGGAATGGTTATCCAGGAATGGTCAACTTACTCCAAGGTTCGCTAGGGGGGCTGGTGACAATGTCGAGGCACACGGGGTTCCCTCCGGCCTCCAGTACTGCTTGGGCAACCTCGACGCCCAAACAGCCCGCGCCGCCAGTTACTATTTGGGATCGCGTCAGTTTCTACTCCTATTCCTTTCATTGAAGTTCACTAGTTTAGGAACCTCAGAGATCCGACGTGCCACCTACTAATAATAGTCCGACCATCAAGACGGAATAAATCGGCAGCCCGAGTGGTTGGGCCGCCCTGCCGCGCCTTCACCTCACGAAACGAAGGGTCTGCCGTGTTGCTCATGATGCTGCGTCGTTTTGCCTCCTCAACGATGGTTATCTTTAATACTGACAGCTAATTTCGTAAAAAGTGTAGAAGTCTTCGTGAGAACGCAAATTTTAGTATCGAAAAGGGATGATCAAAGTTGCTATTACATCGGTAAGGTACGTGTAGCACATGCGGCGTGACGCAAAGGTCCCTGCAGATCCCCCTCCCCCACATGCAAGGCGGTGCTCTTCCCGCTCTTCCGCAAAGGTCCGCCAGCATCGTGACTGACTGATTTGCGTCGTTCCACCAGCTTTTTCGTCTTGAGAAAGTATCGGAGCAAGCGGATGTCGGGCCGTATGGGCCAGGGACAATCGTTTGGCCCTGGACGCATGCTAAAGCAACGGCATGGACGCGACTCGCTACAAGATGGACCGAGTATTAGAAAAGTAGAAAACACATCAAAGGTGATATCATCCTACTCATTTGTACTTGCTTTACATCAAGATTCACCTGCCGTATCTCTGATTCCTCATTCCTGTTGTTTCAAATCCAGATCCTTCGAAGAAGAAGAACTTCGAACACATTCCTAAGGCAGAGATGGCGTCTAACACAGCTCGACCTCTTGAAGGCAAAATTGCCGTTGTCACCGGCGCCTTTCGAGGTGAACAGACTTTCCATATGAAAAGGGCTTTCTGCTAACATGTTCAGGCATCGGATCTGCCATTACGCAGCATCTTGCAGGCAAAGGCGCCAATATCCTGGGCGTGTACACGTCCGACTCCTCCACCAAAGCCGCCCAAGAATTGACTGCCTCGCTCTCTTCAAAGCACGGCGTCAAGATCGTCCCTCTTCAAACAGACCTGATACGACCCGAGGAAGCAGGCAAGCGAATCGTTGAGACGGTCAAGGCCAACTTCGCCCGAGCCGATGGCATTCTCGTCATCGATATCCACATCAACAATGCTGGCGTCGGCGGTGACTATGCCCTGGGCGAGGTTCCAGCTGATGAGTTCCACCGCATTTACGCCGTCAATGTCTTGGCCCCCATCATGGGCACGCAGGCAGTCCTGCCGTACCTGCCACACGACCGCTCGGGCCGCATCGTCAACATCCCTTCCGTCGCTTCGATCATGGGCTTCAAGACGCACACCCTGTACGGCGGAACGAAGGCTGCGTTAGAGGCCATGACGAGGACCTGGGCGAGAGAACTCGTGGAGCGGGCCACTGTCAACGCTGTGAACCCCGGTCCCGTCGAGGGCGATATGTACTGGGCGGCGGGAGAGAAGTTCTGGAAGCAGTTGGAGCCGTTTCAACTGGCTGCACCTTTGACGGCTGTCCGTGATAGGGTCGATCGGCCGGAGTTGGTGAAGTTAGCCAATGAAAAGATGGCTGGGAGACGCCCGGCTTACTGGACCGAGGTTGCCGCCGTTGTTGGTATGAATTGTGGTCAGGACTCTTCTTGGTGTACTGGAAGTGTCGCTTGCGCCAATGGAGGACTGAGATTCTCTACTTAGACCAGCCAGATATCAGACATAGCCCATATAATGACAGCTCCCTAAACGGATATAACGAGATGCTTCAACCCAGTGATGTCGATGGGTGCCGGCGTTTGGGCTTCGCTAGTCGCTGCTTCTGGTGGATGGATTGTAGAATGCAAATGATTGACTCTATGCTGGACTCGGGTGACGCCCAACGCTGCATACCAACTATGAGTCGAGATACGATCCCTTCAGTGTCAGGAACCAAGTGCTTCAAGATCGGTGAGTCCGATGACGTGGCTAACACGAAAGATGTTGCTAAGCACCTGTACGGAGTCACTCTAGTCATCGTGGCATTCTGCGATGAGTAATAGCAAGGCAGAAGTTACGCTTGGCATATGGCCCACACGTATGGGGTGCGTTTAGTCAAGACCTGTAGAGCGGTTTCGATGTAGTTGCGGCAGCTCTGAATACAGGTCTCGGCGTATTTGTAGACGTGAGGCCTGCGTCCGACGCGATCAACAGAAAGTGCTGCTGAGGTGGAGAGTATTACTGGCGGGGAAAGCAGTCAGCATTGCATTTTCTTTTCATTCTCAAGTATTCTTAAACAGAATGATAACGAGCAAAAGGAAATTAGCTCACGGTTCCAAATCTGTAAGCCCAAATTGAGTCCCGCTTGTTGCTCCGTGGACCGAATGTCAATCGTGCTCAGGATAGGCGACAAATAGTACGATATGATGCCATTTCCAACCCAGTCCGTCCCGATTGCGATAACCACAAGCAAGAAAAGACGAGGGCGGTTGTTTGGCAGGAAATAGTCGGTGTATTTGGTCTCAGAGTTGACCTCATCAACCCGCAGATTTTCCATTATCTCTTCGTATTCGAGCCGAACAAGGGGGTCGTTGATGTCGCCATTTGCGTGGTACTTTCCGGGAATTTGTAAAGCTTCATCGGAAGCGCCGTGTCTGACAAGCCACTGGTACAGACATCATCAGCCTTAGGCTTCTGGTGAAGACTACGAAATCACTTACTCTGGGAGACTCGGGCATAGTGAAGATCATCACTAGAGTCACGCCTGGCCCAACAAGCTGCAAGTAGCAAGGGATTCTCCATGCAGCCTTTCCTTCAATATGTCTGGTGCCGAGACAAACGCCGGCTGATTCCACGGCAGAAATATAATAAATACAGGTATCTGAGATGCATCAGAGACTATTCCAGGCTGTCGTCTCCCAGTAGGTAGCTTGTCACGTACACATGCTGCCAATCTGGGCTCGATAGCGAGGATGCGCAATTTCTTGCAGGAGGGTCGGTGCAATCGTCAGCTCCATAGAGATGCCATTGCCCATCAACACACGACCAGCGATGTACATCCCAAGGTTGATGGCCGCGGAGTTAACCACAGCGCCAGCGATCTGCACCGATGTAGGAGTCAGTATTGCGAAGAGGAGCAGGTTATCAAACTCACGTTGATCAGAACACCAATCCAAACGGCCTATCGTCTTCCAAATCGATTTGCGATCAACTCGGCGAAATACGGAGATATCAACCCGGGAAACAGTGCAGCTGAATTCATCAGACCTAGCAAATTGCCTTTGGGATGGCCGAAGAAATTTTGCCAAGCGTCGATTGTTTGAAGACCATTGAATAGACTTCCATCGTCTTTGGATTACCGTTAGTTGGACTGCGTCTTCACCGCATCCAAGCTGGGAGAGTAATGAGCGTCGTTCTTACAGCCATTGAAGAAGAGCGTGCCGCAGAGACCGACGCAGTGGAACACGTTTTTCCGCAGTCCTGGCAGATCAGTACGTATATGTCGCCTCAGGAAGACGGATCGTCTCACCTGCATCCAGCCACCACTTGCTGTTGGCATTATTTCGAACTGATTTGTAATTCGACTCGGATCCCGAAGCACCGCAAGCTACTGCGCCGCCGCCCATCCTGAAGTTGGACAAATTGAGTGATACGTGACGGGTACAGAATTGTGAGTATAGAGAGCAGACGAAGCTTCACAGAGCCTACCTACATGGTCAATGATTTGATACTCATCTGAGAGTTTATGTATGATTGGCTTTGTGTCTCCTTCGAAATGACTATGACGACTCTAGCTAACTTCGTCCGGTGCTAATTTCAAGGCCTCGAAAACCTGGGGTAAGCTCCACGGCCACGCGTATAGAGACCTCGGACGATTTCCCCGTGAGGTTGATTTTGCTTCAAGGGCTATCCTGGATCTCGGTCGGTCTCGGGTTCAGGCCAGGTGACGTCTTACCTGATCCGGCTTGAGATGCATTGGGCGGCGGTGAGCGGGACTGCGGTAGCAGCGGTTTCTCGCTCAGATCCTGCTCACCCACCACACAGGGGTAGACAACATAATCGAGGAATGAGTGCAAGAGATCTTGCGGAGTTGTCCAAGTATCTCAATGTTTGATGGCTGAAATCCTCACAGCCCTGTCTCGGAACATTACCAAGCCCCGCCAACCAGCACATATTTTGAACCTATGATTGTCGTATTGTGGTGCATATGCAATAATTCTAGCCTTAGATGGATGTTCTCAGGTGTGGGAACTAGGCACAGCCTCGGACCAAGTAGCTTCCACCATCTAACACAATGGTCGCCCCATTGATGATGTGCTTGCTTGCCCTTGAAGAGAGGAAAACCATCACACCGGCGACGTCCTCGGGACTGCCTAGCTTCTGTTCCGGCACCTGTTTTGCGACGCTTTCAATACCACCATGCCGATTCATCAGCGGCGCACTCATTTGGCTTGGTACCATCCCGGGTGCAACTACGTTCACCGTGATATGTTTCGGTCCAGGTTCCACGGCCAGGTTCTTCATCAGATGAATTACAGCTGCCTTGGAAGCGGCGTACGCGTATGCTATTCAAATGGTCAGCGCTTGCAGTGACAAAGTCCTTGAATTAATGTGACTTACTTCAGTGCTCACCCATGTCCCCAACAACGACGCCCGCCACTGAAGACACCATGATAATCCGAGATGGATCCTGGACTGTGCCCCCAGCCTGAAGTAACGGAGATAATCTTCAAAAGTTGTCAATTTCTCCATACAGAATGGATAATACTTGAGGGACATACTTTTGAGCTGAGAAAAAGATGCTGCTGACGTTTATTTTCATGACCCGGTCGAAATCATCTTCCTTGTAATCGTCCATGTGGCCAATGAAAGTTGCACCGGCGTTGGCAACCAAAATGTCGACATGATCCGTGGTTTTGCTAATTTCAGCGGCCATCTGGGTGCATCCTGCTTGACTTGATATATCTGCAACGATCGCGACTGCCCGGGCGTCGGGGCCTTTGTTAGGGAGGGCATTGAGGACTTTCGCGGCATCGTTCAAAGGGCCCTCGTTGCGGGCAACTATGTAAACGCGGGAGCACCCTGCTTGGAGAAAGCTGGAGATCTAATCAGCCATCATCACTGTCAGTGGTAGATAGAATCGTGTGTTCTTGAACTTACCCGCTGGCTGTGTGAAGACCTAATCCGCGCGACCCGCCAGAGATAACTGCAACCTGCCCTTTCAGCGAGAAGATGTTCTGGAAGTCATCGAGCTTCACAAGATCTTCAGGTGTACCGTGTAGACATCTTTTTCGATTCAGCGTGCACAAGAATTTCAAATCGTCGTTTCCAGCACCAATTTTCACTGTATGCTACGGTGCTGGACTGCCGTTGATAATGAGGCAGCAAGCTGGTGCTGCGGGGAAATTTTCAGTTAGCGAGCCGAAGGCCGGTTGAGCGGCAGTCAGCGGGAAACCGCTTTTTGGCGGTGGTTCGGCGCGTGTACCCATCATGACATCAGATAACTCGAAAGCTCGTGATCATTTCTTTAAGAAACGACCCTTTTTCAGGGAAACCTGGGATGAAAATGCCTGGGAATTTCTACTCAGCAACAGCAACCTAGTAACAAGAACTTCGGTAACAAATCGCAGCATGAGTGGAGGTGGTCTTTACTGGTCCAGCCTTCATCGGCCTCAACCATTATCTCGTTTCTCGCTGCGTATCCTGAGTCTTGACCGAGCCTACGTTGTACATGTCCGATATCACTTCTGTGGCCGGTCAAGTGATGAGTTGGTGAGACAAATTGTTGTCGCCAGTCCTGTGCCATCGTTACCCCGGATTCCTGTGAATCGTGCCCCGCGGCAGTGGGTACGGGTGCGACTGGGCTTTGAACCTCAGCATAGTGGGTCAGTGGCGAACTGGAGACGGAAGACCTCCGTGCCCACTGCCAGTCCCTAAACAACATAGTTTGAGTGCAGCAAGTTTCGTATTGTCTAGACTGTTCAATTTTGGATGGAAGTTAGAATGCAATGTTGTCTGGAATAATCAGCCAGCTTTTCCGAATGCCTTATTCATCGCCAAGATGCTCGTGTACCAGTTAGAATCGGTCGTCCGATTAATGACTTTGAAGGTGACAAGTGCTCCAGTTTCAAACAACTTGACTGGTTATGATAAGATTCTTAGACATCTAATTACCGAGCTTGGAATTCTAGGATTGAACTGGATGGTCGTTGTATGAAGAACAGGCTGCACACAGGCAACTCTGATTGGATCTCAACTTGGCGGAAGACGTAGCTGTTTGACAACCAGCTCTCTTATGAGATTTTCTATTAATGTTTGGGTTCCATCAACTCAGCTCGTGTAACCGTCACTCCACGGCATAGGACGCTTCTCTTGCGCAGCACCGTCCGGTCACGTGAACGGATGTCCGCCATCGCTGGGAACACTCGGTGCGGGGAACCGGCCCCGTAATCGGCTCGTGGGGGCCGATGCCTGTGGGACTTCGGCATCATACCTAATTGAGACCGAAGGGGTCTGCCTACTTTAAGCCATGAACAGCGTATCTCGGCATGAGGATATGCATAGATAAGACTCCATCAAAGATCTCCTGGCAACCACACCAACACCAACACCAACACCAACACTGAAGCATGGATAAGAACGCCCAAATTGTAATCATCGGCGCGGGGTTATTTGGCTTGTCCGTCGCCCGCCAACTAGCCTTGGACGGCTGCAAAAACATCAAGTTCCTGGATCGACGAATGCCGCCGGTAAGAGTCGAAATCCTCCATAGATGGGATTTACTGACTATCGAAGGTCCCGGATGGCTCCAGCACCGATATCTCCCGCGTTATCAGATTCGACTACGCAGACGAAGACTATCACCGCATTGCCCGCGAAGCTTACCTCAGGTGGCGTGATGACCCCAAGTACAAGGGCATCTTCAATCAAACAAACTACATCTTGGCAGGCTCGCCAAAGCCTGGAGACGAGTCATGGATGGACAAGACCACTGCTCAGTTGACGAAGCATCAGTTGCCATGGTCGATTCTCAAGGACGCCGAGACTGCCAGAAGCATCTACCCAATTCTAACGGGTAAACTCACAGGGCCCAACTTCTCTGCATATCATCACAACCAAGCCGGCTGGGCAGATGCAAGCAAGGCTATTACTCAACTTTGTGATGAGTGTCTCGAGCTCGGGATCTCTTTCATTTGCGGTCCGGCAGGCACAGTGGTGGGGTTCGAGACCGATGCTCACAACACCATCACCGCCGTTCGCACTCTTGCCGGGCCTCAGTCGTCAGTCAAAGGCGATCGCTTCATATTGACCGCAGGCGCTTGGGGCTCTGGACTTGTGCCCATGTACAACTCGACTCTTTCCACGGCTCAAGTCTTGGCTTATCTTCCATTGACAGATGAGGAGATGTTCATGTATCGTGACCTTCCGATTTACATCAACTACACGACTGGCTGGTTCAACTTCCCTCCGCACGAGGACACCAAAACGTTGAAAATGGCGGTTCATGGCTGGGGATATACGCGAGCACCAGGCGACGACGACCGAAAGCTGACTCCGAATGTTTCGTCTCCTCCGCTTGTGTCAAAGGAGCGACCAAATTTTGCCCCGGCAGATGGTGAGGACAGGATGCGAGCAGGACTTCGAGAGATAGTTCCTGAGCTGGCGGATCGACCATTCAGCAAAGTCACTATGTGCTGGTACACGGATACCCCAACAGGGGATTTCATCATGGATGATCATCCCGACTATAAGAACCTCTTCATTGGAGGGGCTGGGTGTGGCCAGTAAGTGACGTTACCCTAACGAGATTTGCACCAGTTTCTTACCACTTTGATCGCAGTGCCTTCAAGTTCTTGCCTGTCCTGGGCGAGTACCTCGCAAAGGCTGTGAGAGGAGAGCTACCACCATCGTTGGCTCACAAATGGCGTTTCCGTAAGGAGTACCAGAACCAGAAAGACGCATTCTTGGGCGATGGCAGTCGTGGAGGACCAGCAAGACGAGAACTGAGTGAGAAGGAGAGAGCCACTTACGAGTCACGGGCGGTTGCGAAACTCTGATGAGTACATGTAGACTGGCTTTAACCATTGCAAGGCCTTCATATGGCAGTTCAAGTAGATAAAATGGACATCAACGCCACTGAAAAGTAGATACTAATGGATCTCCGAGCTGTTGAGCTATGGATGCTGCTCATGTACGGTGTTTCCAACACGTGGGAATGTTTCCCAGGGCTACATCAATATTAGCCAAGGCATAGACGGCTTGAATATTTGGGCTCTCGGCGTATGTGCTCGAAAATCGTCTGAATGAGCCAACTCGCGGTTATGGTCACGATCGCAGCTTGAGGCACCCCAGTCGAGCTAGCCATTATTGCCGGCTGACCATGAATCAGCGTGCACAACTGTTGACTTGACTCCTTTGCGGCAAACATCGTGATGAACTTCCAGTTTTACATCTAAATCACTGCAGGCTTCGAGAGATTCTGTGTCACAACGCAGAAATAACTGTTGTATAAAAATGTCAAGGCCGTCCCGGTAGATGGCTTTCTCTTTTCTTCCACAGAACAACACAGAAGAACAAACACACCCTCGCATACAAATTGCAATCCAGCCTAATCAACTCACCATCTTATCAATCGCCCCAACACCAAACAAGATAACCATCAATCAACGTTGCCCGCCATGTGCTACAGAAGAAACGTCCGCTACAAGTGCATGAAGTGTGGCCGCATCCACCACACTCGCATCACCTCAAGAAGAACGTGCAGCAAGCGCCGCGAGACGGGAAGCTGCGGAGGCACCGACAACCTCGCCGCCGGCACAGTGTCGCGCGGGTACTGCAACAACTGCGGCAGACACTCTAGCGATGCCTACACTTCTGACTCTTACGACTCTTGATGGAGTTACAGTCATTCATGGAAGTAAAGAACGCTCAAACGAAGGCACAATGGGAAAGTTGAAGTGAGGGCAGAGATCTTGCGAGAGTCGCAAGATGCAGTGGCCAGAGGGCAAGCAGAGCAGAGGTAGTTAGTCACAATCAAATCAAGTCAAAGTCCAAATTTTCCATGTGATCAATGCCCCTGAAAAACACACCAGAGATCATGAAGCGATCTGAGAAACGAAGAAGTAGTGATGGTTTTGTCATGTCAGGCTGACCGGAACTCACCGACAATCACCGACGGCTGGCGTCGGTAAGGTGTCAATTAAATGGGAGGAAGCTTCTTAATAAGTGTGCCCCATCCCACCATGGAATGCGACGTGGTCAAGATATCCCCGCCCGTCGTCACATTTCCCGTCGGCTGTCCCATTAATCAAGTTCACCAGAGTATCCAGTAGCAAAGAATCGTTCACCAGAAGAGACAATGGACGGGAAGCTCCAGTCCCCCAGCACCTGGCAGCGCTACAAGCTCGGCCAGGCGCGGGTGACCGACTGGCTGAAGCAAACCGCCAGCAAATTCACGCCAAGCCCGACACCGCCGGATGCCAGCGAAGGCAATGGCTCGTCCGCTGGAACGAGAAAGCCCAAGCTGGACGCGGCCTCTGACAAGGTGCACTGGAGCGAGCTGGAACACATGGCGGAGACAATCGCCAACAACAGCAAGCCTGAGGAAATCCCGTGGGACCCGATCCTGGTCCTGCGGGATGTGGTGGCACTGAGGAAGAAGAGCGCTCGGTTCTATTCCAAGACTGCCGACCAAGACAAGACCGGCAGATTAAAGCTCAGCAACCAGCAGCACGAGCACATTATCAAGGTGCTGGAGAAGGTCCTCAGCGTGCTCGAGTCGGCTGTGTCAGGCGTACGCCCGAAGCAGAAGGAGGAGCCTCGGAGGGCCGGCGACCGCCTGGATATGAAATTGCTAGACAACATGTTCAACCTTCTCCAGTTCCAGAAGCCAGGCAAGCACACAAAGATGCCAAAGTCGGAGGCTCCTGAGGCAGAAGATGTCGATCCGGAGCAATCGGAGTCGGAGTATGAATCCGACGTAGAGGAAGCCCCGACGTCAAGCACTCCAGGCCTCAAGCAGGCTAAGAAGGCCTCAAAGAAGGGCAAAAGCGGCAAGGGCAAGAAGGGTAAGAAGGCCTCCAAGCCCAAGGGCGGTGCGAAGAAGTCCAGCAAGGCCGAGGACAACACCTGGGTCGACCGCTTCTCGGTGGGCAGGAGCCCTGAGGAAGTCGACGGCGAGGAGCTCGACTACCACATGCTCATCTACTGCTTCTTTGAGGATTTCAACGTCATCCGCAACTACGTCAACGAGCGCTGGGCCGACTACTTCTACGACAAGTCCGTCTCGCTCAACACCCTCGCCGTCATCACCAACGCCGCCGCCGAGCCTTTTCGCAACATGGAGAATGAGCTTCTCTACATTCTTCGCGATAATGGCCTCTCGAACCTCTGCACGTACGACGCGATGATGGAGTTTCTCCTCAACGAAGTGGGCATTTTGCATGTTGACTACGACTACAAGCCCGCGTCGAAGGAGGAACAAGACGAGAAGGTCTGGCGCGACGAGTATGACTGGCTAGCATGGTCCGCATACCAAGGTATCAAAAATGTCTTTGACATCACGCCGCCAGGGAAGATCCCCATGATCCCTCCTTCAGCTCGCCCACGACCCGAGTATGGCCCCATTACCGGTGACGACTTCGCGGATTTCAACAACATTTGCATCTTTAATCTATTAACGGAGATCGCTGCAGTGCATTCGATGAAAAAGATGCAGGAGCAGCCTCCCGTCATACCAGGTCAACCAGAGATGGAGCTTGACTTTGAGAAGATGCTGGAGCTGCGCAAGTACACGTCTCACTTCGTCTTCTCCCTCCAACTTTATCTTGACATCCGCAACATCATTGATGCTCAGGTGGAAGTTGCATTTGAACAGCTCCAAGAAACGGGCAAAGTGGTTAACCAGTGCACAAGGATGTCTATCAATACGTGTGACACCGTCTTCAAATCGTATTGGGGAAATTTAGCGAAGCGCGACATCAAATTCATGGAGTGTTACATCTTTCATGATTTCACGTTGGCCAACAAGAAACTAATAGCAGACTGGAATGGCCTGGACGTTGAGGATGGACTCCCCTCGTACGAGCTATTCCGCCGTGAACCTGTCTGGCCCGCATTGCTTGATTTTCGGACTAAGTTGCAAGCCACAATTATGAGCATTCGTCTTCTTTCCCGAACACCCGCGCCCCTGTGGTCTGGTGTGTTATACACCATTGCCAAGCGGGACTACGCCGACATGCCCTCCTGGTCAGAATTCGACAAGTTCCTGGCGTTCCACGAAACGGATCTCCTCGGATTCCATACACCCGTCACAAGCGAACTCAAAGCTTCCGATGTTCTTGTTAAGCACACGACGATCTCTAAAGGCAAGCTGTACCATATCTGGGGAGACCTCCTCAAGAAGACCGATTGTGTTGCTAAATTTCACGAGCGCTACGGGGAAAATAAAGTTTGGAAGCGTGGAAACATGGACTACATCGCTCACATCGCCCGCCATCACCTGGGCCTGCCTGTCGACTCCAACGTAAGCCCTTTCGGCATTCCGCAAAAGTTTGCAAAGACGAAACAGGCGACGGGTGAAGAAAAGACGAAGGACATGTTGCAGCGCATCCAGCGGGTCGGCAACATGCGCCACGTCGAGGTCCTTCAAATTCTGGACCAGGTTGTGGAGTCAATCGTGCATGGCGAATTTGCAATCAACTATTACAAGCTGGACTGGGAAATCCAAAGCTTTGCCGTCTTCCTGCGGGAGACGCGGGAGACGTCGTCGGAGAAGGGTCTGCTTGGGAAGCCCGATGGCAGCGTGGACGCGTACCTGGCCAGTGACGACAACGACGTCTTGCTAGGCGAGGTCATTAGGTCCGCCATCAGTCGCTCCGCCGATCAGAAGTGTGTTTCTCGTGTGTCTGATGAAGTCCGTAACAGGGTGGATGTAAACGACTACGATTATCTGTACAAGAAGTTCATGGAGACCAAGGACGGGATGGGTCGCATCCATAACGAGGAGTACGGCGGAGACCAGCAATGGACGGACGACGACGAAGATGGAGAAATGGAAAGTTATGACCGGGGATCATAGAAGGCGACATGCAGGACAACTACGAGCTGGGCTACGATGATCTGGATAAACATTAAGGAGGGCATCAATGACAACTTCCATGGATGATCCGCGATCCGTGAACGACGGAGAGTAACACGTCACTTTCTGGTGCCGACTTCCGAACCAACCCCGCGATTGTCTCAACGAAAAAGAGTCCTCAATGTCGAAATGCCAAACCGCCGACGGCGATTTCAAGGTCCCGTTCGCCTAACTACTGTTGACGCGCGCGCCCGTCAGCCCTACAGCGAAGAACAAACAACTTGCCACGCCACATGGAGTAGTCAGCATGTGCCTATACGAAACGTGCCCAACACGGCGAGTGTCAGCATTGGATGCGTGGTGAGGAAACTTACCCAATGTGGGAAATAGCCAGCATGTAATCGGAAAGCTTGGTTCAGCCGCCAATCGCCTGCATCGCCGCGAGCGCGAGCATCATTCCGTCTTGGGCCCCGCGCGCGGCTCTCCGGCGGTTTGGAAGAACGCCGACCGCGCGGGCTTCCATTTCACGCACAGCACGTTATGTATTCGTATGCACGCACACTCAGCGTCTCGCAGCCACAGTGTGCCTCTCTGCTGCATTTAAGTGAGGCCACTTACTCATCGCGCACCTGGTAGTGGAGGCGGTCTATGAATGCGGCCCATGTGTGCATAGTTTGTATATAAGAGCCATCTCAAGAATGCCAACCGTTTCAACCACAATGAACACCAACCAGACTCTCTCATCTCCTAACCCTCTTCATCTCCCATTCACAAAACATCTTCACATCACACGACTACCACACATTCCAAGCACCAAGGATGCACTCCGCCATCGTCAACGCCTGGGGCTCTCCCCCAACCTACACCACTGTCCCAGACCTCCCAGCACCCTCACAATCACAGATCCGCCTCCGCGTCCTCGCAGCCGGCACCCACCGTCTCGTTCTCTCCCGCGCCTCCGGCAAGCACTACACCTCGACCACCCTCCCCCACCACCCCGGCGTCGACGGCGTCGGCGAAGACCCGACAACAGGCCAGCGGTACTACTTCGCCTCTCTCCAATCCGGCTCCTTCTCAGAATTCGTCAACGTCGAGCGACACTTCGTCGTCAAGCTGCCTGAGAATGCGGACCCGGTCACGGCCGCCGCGTTCATGAACCCGATCATGAGCAGCTGGATGGCCCTCTCCGCGCGCGCGGCGCCTCAAAAGCCGGGGTTCACCGTCGCCATCCTCGGAGCGACGAGCGCCAGCGGGCGGGTCGCTGTGGACGTTGTGATGTCAAAAGGCGCAGGCAGGGTGATTGGGATCGCGAGAAACGAGGCCGCGCTGGCGGAGATTCCGCTTGACGAGAGGATCGTATTGAAGCCCGAGACGGACTGGTCTAAGCTGGGCGAGGTCGACGTCGTTTTGGACTATGTGTACGGCGACGCGGCCGCGGGGTTGTTGAAGGCGTTGCCCAAGCCGGAGAGGGAGGTGCAATACATTCACATCGGCTCTGTGTCGCGGGATGAGACGATGATGCTGCCCGGGGCGATTCTGAGGGGGAAGAGGGTCGCGTTGAGGGGCGCAGGGCCTGGAAGTTGGACGATGGAGGAGTATGCGAAGGAGCTTGGGGGTATGGTCGAGATAGCGGCCCAGTTGGAGAGGAAGGGTGTTACGGTGGAGGCGTTTAGAGATGTCGAGACGGCATGGGGGAAGGCACGGGTTGGCGGGGATCGGATTGTATTTGTGAGTGATGACATTGCCAAGGACGCGTGAGGGAAGGGACACGGTCATTTCACACAAAGTTGGAGGGTGTAAGGCGATGGCGAGGGAATTTCAGATGGAGATCTCGCATAGTATGATATCATAGCAACGTAAGTTGAACTTTGAAGGGATTCATTTCAGATATTATTCTTGTGCTGAGCAAACCCTCTCTACCGTGAGACCCTCTCACTTGAAATCTCAGGATGTGGATGCACCAAGCTTACCTCTTATACTACACGTCGTTAGTCACTTCGCCCCTATACCAGAATGTGAACTTACCCTTGAAGAACGGTGAACCAACAGCCTGAGCAACAGCCTGTGCCACAAGCTTCTGGATGGCCACGCCGGGGTGGTAGTCATTGAACCACAGGCAGCTGACGCCGTCGGCGTTGTAACAAGTAGCATCAGGAGCGCCATAAGCCGTGGGGTTGTTGATGGCCTTGTCGAAAGGTGCAGTGGTATCGACAACCCAGGATGTCACACCCGAGTTCTTGGCCTTGAAGGCAGCGAGGTTGCTGTTAATGAGGTCGTTGTACTGCTTGATCGCGGCCGCGAGCTGCGCATTCGAGTCGGCGCCGTTGGCGAGCATCAGAGGCGTCTTTTGCGTAGCTTTCGTCTGTCAGAGGCATAACATGGAGGCATCAAATGGCGGAAAACTCACGAGGTACGCTCAGCAGCACAAACTTCCTCACTCCAGCGTTGTACAAGATCTGCAACTGATCAAAGTACTTGCCCAGGACCTGAACAAGGAGCGTCTCCCTGTTACTCAGCCAGAAAGCGTTCCCAACATCATTTACACCCATCCAGACCCCGGCAAGGGTGTTATCCGCCGTCCAGGGCGCCCAGCTCGGCTTCGACGCCAGGCTGCGCGAGAACTCAGCCACCTGGTCGATGAAGCTCAGCACGGTGCTCGCGTACGGCGCGATGAGCGTCGCGTCGGTGGTGGCGCCGCCGTAGGCGAGGTTGTAGCTGTAGACCAAGCTGGCGTTGAACTGCGTCACCATGAAGCCAACCCAGTCGAGGCCGCCCGAGGCGGTCCAGCCGGGGAGATCGGGGTTTCCGAGAGGGTTCTGTGGGTTGGGCTTTGTGGAGTTGATGTTGAAGCCTGTTTGGGAGTAGGAGTCGCCGCTGGATGAGGTGTTGGTGATTGTTCATTTAGATATAGAGTGAGGGAGGCTTACAAGGTGATGAAGTACTTCACTCCGGAAGGCGAGCTAGTGGCCGTAGCCGTCGCGCCGGCGGACGAGGAGGTCCGGACGGTGGTCGTCGCTGTTCGGACGGTGGTCGTGGCCGGGACGCTAGCAGCGGTTGAAGTTGACGCGGCGACGGTGCCAGGGACACATTGGACTGACTCCATGAGTTTCAAATCTTGAATTCCGTGAAAAGCATCAACTCACAGTACCAAGGGTTCTGCGAAGAGCAATAAGCCCCCGCAGCGCAGCTCGTCGCCCCCGTCCAGCCCGTTCCTCCACACTGCCCCCACACCGCAGCCTGCGCGTTGGCAGCGCCAGCAAGACCGGCCGCAACAAGAATTGAAGCCGTGAGACGAGCCATCTTGAGGAAATCTGAAGATGAGAGAGGGGGAAAGTCTGGCTTGGCAATCAAAGGGCCAGATTGAAATACACATACATGCGTTCATCCCACCGGCTTTATATCTTCCCATCGCCTCATCTCACCAACCGTCCATCGCCGGCACCGCGTCTCCGAAGCCATACCCAAACCGGGATCGTCAGCTGTCACCCCCGCCTCGCCGTTGCTGCCGGACCATTGGCGGAAAAGATCAGGGGCAGCACGGAAGCGGAGCCTGTCGTGCCTGATTAGACGGCAGAACCCGGGTCCGTGGATCGGTTTGGAATGGGATGAACTGCCAGAGGAACGAGGGGAAGCTGGCTTGTGGTTTGTTGGCGAGATGGCGGAGTGGGTTGGGTAGCGTGGTGTTTATGCGGGTGCGCGGAGGGAGGGCATCCCCGACCCCAAAGGGGAAACGCGGGGGATCCACATTGGTTGGCACCGCCGGATGAGCGGGAGCTTGGGGAGAGGGCCTGGAATTCTGGTTTAATTAAATATTGCTGTGTGTATGCTTGTCCTACTGAATTTAAGTTTGAAACGGTTAATGTATTTATTGAGCCTGGATCGGATCCGAAGGTGACGGCGGCTCCGAATGAACCAGGGCAATTGTCTAGGCCGCTTACACGTCTCTATTGGCCTCACATTTATCTTAAGACGGCTCTGTTGCTTACAACAGCACGGCTTTGGTTGATCTCCATGCGGCTCACTCTCTTCAAACCTGTTCAAGAATGGGACATGAACGCATGAGTATGCTCACAAATTCATGACGCGATTCATACAAGTCGTTTCTTCTTTTCAAGTCCATATGACCGAAGCGTGTGAGCCGTTTTCCTATGTTTAGTTTGACTTCATGCTCATGGTATCCGTATTCTATGAGAGGCTTTTTCCCTTAGGGATATCGTATAAGTCTCAAACTCTCGGTCGCAACCCTGGCAACAAGTTCACGCTGAGTCTTCAACCATCCCCATTGACTCGAGGACGTTCATGAGAACCTTTCTGCACTGCCTCCGGTATTCACACGCCATGAGCTGATTCCTCGTCGCTTCGTACTCGTCCACTTCGAACTCAGACTGATCGAGCCTTTCCAACTCTTGGAAGATCTTGTTCTGAATTATGGCCACGGTCTGCTCCAACAACGGCGACGAATCCTCCGGAATCTGACCCGTTAGAACCATTCTTAGCCGCTCTTGGTTGACCGCAGCGCCCTCGACGCCATCCGGCACCGGCAGCAGCTCATCCCGGTGCTCCTCCGTCGTCTGCGCCAGGATCAGGTCCCAGATCACGGTGTCCTGCACATGCCTAAATGCAGGCAAGATCTTCTCGGCGTCGACGTCAGGTACCAGCTGCACGAACCGCGCAGCCACAGAACTGGGATGCGCCACCGGCCGCAGGGAGATGAGATAATCCCTGGGCTTCGTCGCCGACCCAGCACCGACCTCCGTCGAGGGTGCGGCGCCTCGCTTCTGGACGTGGACGTAGTCGTTATGCAGACCCTCTGACTCGGGTATCCGAAAGCCGTAGGCCAGCATCAGTTCGGCGTTCGTCTTGTTGGTGCCGTAGTTGTTGTACACCTGGTCGCCGGGGCCGTAGGCGTCTAGCGTTCGCAGCGCGCAGGTGTCAACGGCATCTTCCGGGTGGTCCCAGGAGATCTTGGCCAACGTCGAGTGGTTTCCGACGTCGAAGAG